AATAATAAAATATTCACTCACAAAATAAATTAGTCAATAATATTTAAACTAAATGGTCTTTTATATCATGATGCTGAATAGTGTCAGTATTTCTGTGGAGAAGAGTGGACAGGCATTTCTGTGGACAGTTGAGGTTATTAAAACAAAAATCCACTAGAAATATACACTTAATTTTTGACTCTTGATAATGGTTAAGTACTATATAAAACCAATAAGTCAAAAGAAGGTTGCAATCCTAGCTTTTGGAGCACTTTGGTGAAGTTTTGTGTCATAAAATGGTGGACCTCTAAAAACTTTCTAAATGAAATTTGTGTGTTGGTGTAAGATTGCATTTGATACTTGAAGAGGCCAGTTCTTTTCCAACTTTGTGCTATTTTCAGGTTAAACTTAGAGTAATAAGAATAACTGGAGATTAGATGAATCTATTTATTACAAAGTAATTCTGAATTCTTTATGTAACTGTGACCATGAGAAAGAAAGAAAGAGACTGTACCCAATTGTAAAAAAGCACAATGAACAATATTCAGTATTCATGTCAGCTGCTCACTCTTTATTGGAGAGCTAGATGTACAAATGTTTATCTCTCAAGGTTTTTTTTTTTTCAGAATAAGTACACATCACATTATTTAATCAAATTGGTAACTTTAACCTTATCCAGAGTGATGTGCTACTCACACAACTGGTTATTCCCATTGAAACATAAAAGAAATTATAACCTTGAGATATCATGTGTCTGCCAATAGAAAAGACAACTGTCTACCTTCACATACTATGAACAGCCTTATGGTAGTCTATCCTACACAACAGGTGATTGACACTAAACATTAGGTAGCTAGAGTGAAAGCAACTTAACTTTCTCAAACACTTGTTTTGTGAAAACTGCATATACACAAAAATAACTGAAAACTTTGGAAAAATTCTAATACCAGAATGGTTGTAGAAAATGCATATTTATAACTATAATCTTTGTACATGTCACAAATGTTACTTGAACACAAATTCAAGAAAGGAAGAGGTGAGGTATTACATGCCTTACACATACACCTTGTAGAAGAAATTAATTTTTATTTACACAAATTGTAATGTAATGCAATGTAAAAACAGATTTTATAC